AGCCTGAGAAGTTTTGATAACACACTGTTGTGTTGTAAAAGGACAACATTGATGGAGCAGTGGTGACCTTTGGATCAAAGCAGGTCTGCGTGTAAATCCTAACTCCACCACTGGAATCTCTGAGCTTCTGTAAAGTTGAGCAAAGCTACTCACCCTGTGGACTTGTCATCCATATGAGGAGTGACCTTACCCAGAAAGCACATAAGACAGCGGTGTTATCTGAGAATGTTCTGTGATTACTAGAATTTTATTTTTCTCACTTAGATAAAGAGAAGATTTTGGCCTGTGGGAACTTTTGAATAGTTAATTATTTTAACTAGGTTTTATTGAAAATGGATAAATATCTAGGAAATACAATCTTATGAAATTGACTCCTATGCTGGGCGCCAGTGGCTCACTCCTGTAATCTTAATGATTCAGGAGACTGAGATCTGAGGATCTCAATTTGAAGCCAGCCCCAGGAAGGAAAGTTTTTGAGACTCTTATCTCCAGTTAACAATCAAAAGAAAAGCTGGAAATGAAGCTGTGACTCAAGTGGTAGAATGCTGACCTTGAGCAAGAAAGCTTGAGGAGCAGCACCTAAGCCATGAATTCAAATTCAAGGACTGGCATTTTTTTTAATTGACCTCTATAGAGATAGAAACTTACTGTCTCTGTAAAAGAGTGATTCCCATGGGATAAAAAGTTCAAGTTGTAGGAGAGCTCCACCTACAAAGGAAACAGAAAAAAACAGTTGCTTTTCTAGGAAATCCACCAAGCATCCAAGTACCAGATGCCCCCAGTACTACTCATGTAATTGCTGAATGCTGAACAGGAAAAGAAAACTTTAAGCTTTCTTATTTAGGGGTATAATGCTAACTGTAAAACCTGACAACAGTTGCACATAAACTCATAGATTCGTCTAATGCATGATGTCTGTAGGAATCCTTCCCGACCATCCCAGGGGACCACGCAGAGGCAGGCAGGCACAGGAGAAAGATTATTATAAGGTTTATTAGAGGGGCCATATCTCCCCCGGAGAGGGAGTTCATGGCATCTGTCCCTATCCCGGTGGCAAGTAGGTCTGGGGAGGGGGGATGCAAGTGGGGTAAATGTGTTCACAGGTGGATCTGGGCAGAGAGAGGGAGTGGCCAGCTGTATGGCGTGATCTCTAGGGTGGGGAGGAGCTCAGGTATGAGTGGAGGTGAGGATAAAACTAACAATGTCAACATAAAGCATCTTAAAATTTAACAAGCTGAATTTAACACTGACATAGAGAGATATCAATCACAGAAAGATTTTTTTATCAATTCCTAATTTATTCTAGAGGAGAGATATCAATCACAGAAAGACTTTTTTATCAATTCCTAATTTATTCTAGAGGAACAATTGTTATCCTGAATATATAATGAGCTAATACTTGTAGGGAAAAAAAGTCCAAAACAGTATTTGAATGAGGGAATTCGCTAGAGAACCATATAGTTTATAAAACTTCAAATGGTAAAGGTTCTTAGGCATTGTTGAAATGCTCAATTTCACATATAATAAGAGAAATGCAGATTAAAAATACAGTGAGAAAATATTTCTCACCTGTGAATTGCTCAAAACCCAAAAGCTCAGGCAAGCAGCTAGGGCTCACATTTGCAATTCTAGCTACTTAGGAGGCTGAAATCTGAAGATTTCAGCAAAGCCAGACCTCTAGTCTGGACTTTTATTGGTTAATTGGAGAAAGTCTCACAGATCTGTCTGCCCAGGTTGGCTTCAAACCACAATCCTCTTGGTCTTGGCCTCTTGAGAACCTAGGATTACAGACATGAGCCACCAGTGCCTGGCCCAAAGTTTTGGGTTTTTTTTTAATACATTAGTTTATTTCTCCATAGTGGGATATACTTAAGGCCAAAGAAATAGATACTATAAATAAGCAGCAAACTTGAAACTTTGTAGTAATCGTCATATTGGTATTTGTGGTTTATTATTGTGTATATCATAGGAGTAATTGTATAATATTCTGTCATCCCTGGTATTCTTTCAAATAAGGATTAGGAAAATCCATGTATAAAACAATTAGTGAGACTGAAAAAACCCTGAAGTCTTCCATTTGCTTTGAAGAAATACAAGAGGTATTTTGTCTTGAAACAAGCATATTGTATGGTTCCATCCACTACAAACAATGACTAATCTGGTATTATTGGGCACACGAAGCTCCCAGACTGTAGTCTTAAAAAATAATAATAACAACATGTTCATTAAAAAGAAGACTCAGGGTTCCTTGAAGAAATGTCAGATCCTAGATCTAACATAATGGACAGAAAGAGTCTGAACCATCTTGTCACCCCTTGATGGCCATACCGAGGTCAAGGTGACTTGGCCCAGGATGCTGGAGTCACCTAGAAGAGGCTCTCATTGGGTAAAAAGAGACAAATTGAACTACCAGTAAAGATGACAACTACTTATGTATTGGGTGGATGGAAATGTGTCAAACATGTTCAAATCCATGAGTACAAAATGATTTTCTTTGCAGTGCCTTACGTATGCTTGGAAGCAATTCACCACTGGAAACAACTTTGTGTGTGTGTGTGTGTGTGTGTGTGTGTGTGTGTGTGTGTGTGTGTGCATGTGCTGGTAGTGGGGCTTGAACTCAGAACCTGGATACTGTCCCTTAGCTTTTACACTCAAGAATGGCACTCTGCCACTTTAGCCACAGTTCCACTTCTTGCTTATTGTTGGTTAACTGGAGATAAAAGTCCCACAGACTTCCCTGCCTGGGTTGGCTTTGAACCTTGATCCTCAGATCTCAGCCTCCTGAGTAGCTAGGATTACAAGTGTGAGTACCAGCACTCAGTGAAAAGGATATTTTTTAAAGAAAGGAAACAAGTTGACAATCATTGGAGAAACCTAACATGCCAATTCATCCAATAAAATGAGGTAAAAAGTGGTAAACAAAGCATTTATCTTGCCTTTTCTACTTGAAATCTGTCACTGGATGACCAAATGGAGATGAGTGCAAGTTTTTTTCCTATATAAGAATTCCAGCTGAGGGGCTGGGAAGGTGGCTCAGTGGTAGAGCGCTTGCCTTGCATGCTCGAGGCCCTGGGTTCGATTCCTCAGCACCACATAAGAAAAAAGAAAAAAGCCGGAAGTGGCGCTGTGGCTCAAGTGGTAGAACGCTAGCCTTGAGCTGAAGAGCTGAGGGACAGCGCCCAGGCCTAGAGTTCAGGCCCCACGACCGGACCCAAAAAAAAAAAAAAGAATTCCAGCTGATAAATGGAGAAGGAAGGAAGCAATTCGGCTATCAGTCTGTGCTGCTCATAATGAACTGCTGGTTGTTCTAGGTAATGGTCATGAGTGGCTGCTTCTATCACAAGCGGAGATAGTTAAACATTCGGTATCACTTGATAGAAAAGATAGTACCAAAATGAGCCCAAAACTGAGCCTGCATCTCATCAAGTGCAAATTTACAGGAGGTACAAAGGCCACAGGACACAATAGGAGCCATCAATAAACTCCAGACTCTGGAAAACAGTGTAAGAAAAAAAAATGTGTTCAGTGGACACTTGAAAAGGGAAGATCTAGGGTCCCTGCAGAGAATTCAGCAATGGCTGGTGCTTACTGTATATGTAGTCTGGACCCATACACTTTAACACCCCAATACCTAAAATTTCATCCCTGTGATACTGTTATTATTCCATGTCTATGGCTTGAGAAACAGGCACAGAGAGGCAAAGTAGCCTGCCTAAGGCATACAGACAGTAAGTGGCAAAGACACTTCAGCCCCAGGATTGATTCCAGAGCCATCCCCAGTCCCCACACAGTGCTGCTGCTTCCTCACAAAGTCACAAGGAGACAACTTGACACCCCACTCCCCCAGGTTGGATGCCAAGTCTCAGAGATAATCTGTCAAAATGCCAGGATGAATAGGTAGGCAAAGAAACAGAAGCTAGACATGGAAACAGACTCGAGCCACTAAAACCAACAAGGCACAATAGTACACTTTGGCCATGGAGCAGCAGGGTGAGGGCCTGAGGAGATCAGGATCCAGGGTCTCCATTCATGCAGCTGTTCCCCCATCATCTTGGGGGTACAAAAGTGAGGTCTTGGCTGTGGTAGTGGTAGCACTGTTAGACTAAAGAGCAATGTGTTGAGGCAGATTTGCACAGTAGCTTCTAGCCACACACATTCATTTTAAGCACATCCTTTCTTTCATCTGCATGTACCTTGCACTAGGGACAGATAGAGAATAGATGTGAGTACAAGTCTTCAATCTTTTGTTGGTAGATACCCATCAGGGTCACCAAACAGATGAGATCTCATGAGTCCCAGCAACCAGATGAACCTAGTGGTTGGATGGTGGCATATACACAGAATGGAATATCACTCAGACTTGAAGAGCAAGGGAATTCTGAGCCTGGCTATAACAATGGGATGAACCTTGAAGACATGATACTAAATGCAATGAGCCAGACACAAAAGGAAAACGCTGTGTGATTCCATTATATGAGGTACCTAGAGTCATCAAATTCAGAGACAAAATAAAAGTTGCCAGGGACTGGAGAAGGGAGAATTTAATAAAATGTTTTCAATTCAGAAAGATGAAACCCTTCTGGAGAGAGATGGCGGTGATGACTGCACAACAGTGGGAAAGCACTCGAAATCTCGCTGAACTGTGAGCTTTACAATCGTTAAATGGTAGATTTCACATTATATACATTTTACCACGGTAACTGAGATTGAATGCACTGATGTGATGATTACTCGTAACGTTTCTGACAGCTCGATAATGTGACACTGTACACTCATTGAAATGCAGTTGCTCAGTGAAATGTGGGAGGTGAAGGCCAGCTGGCCAGCGAGCGAGCACCTGGAGCACCCCGGGAGGCAGAGGGCCTGCGTCGAGCAGTTGGCCCCGCCCCAGATGTAGACTCCTGTATCAAGGAAACAAAGCACATTTTCCATGTGACACCCAAGCCTGGTCTCTAAGATAAGGAGAATAACAAGACCTTGTTCTCTGGTTTCTCCCCCAGGTGGCAGTGACCAAAGAAGACACTCTCTGGGCCGAAGTTCTAGTGAATGGAGGGAAGGAAGAAGGCAATTTCCTAATTGGTACCATATACATCAGGTCAAATCATGTTCTTACTTTTTAACTCTACCAACCAGATGGTAGCCGTGTGCAAGACGGTGTAATGGCAATGGATAGCCCAAGACTCCAGCCTTCTTTGCCCAAAGACATAGCTCCTCTGGTCTTTGTCGTGACGCGAGCCTCTTTTATTTGTTGCCTTCTGACAGAGGCACAGGTTGACCTGAGAGGTTGAACCAACCTGACACAGTTGGTCATAGGTAAATCTGGGTTCACATTAGACTAACATGCTGATTCTAAAGCTCCAGCAAGTGCCGCAGAGGCCCATCCACTGAGCACAGACCAGCTGTAGCTATCACCTAAGAAGAAACAAAGGCCATTCACCACTAGAGGAAATTTAAACTCACTCACGGGGTGAAAAATTAATGACATACCCACTAGCATAAAGGTTTCCCTCTTAGAGTCAACAGGCTTTTTCTATAAAGACCCAAATAGTAAGTAAATACATTCGTGGGGGTGGGGGGTGGAGCTTTTTACTACCAAAGCAAACCATGTATAAAGCTACTATAGTCATTATGTAAAGACATGATTGTGTTCCAATAAAACTTCATTTACAAAAACAAGTAGAGGCCTACTATGGGCCATAGGGGTGATGACCTCTCATCTGCACACTTTGGGGTACATTTGTACTTTATCAGCCATGACTGAAACCAATGGTGGTCCCCCAGACTGCTTTACTGATAAGAGCTACCCTTGTATTGCTGGTAAAGGCTGCTTTTCCCTAGCAATTGGCTCTTGCAGACAGCCCACAGTCCAGCTCCTGGATGCCAGTGTAGTCCTCTGATTGTAATCGTTCTTAGGAAACCTGACTTCCTTGTGAATTTTGTTGGGCTATTACCCTGAGTATGATAACTCTCAGGGAGACAGCAGATTAATTTTAGAAGTCATCTTCAGCAAGTTTGCTGACCCCAGAGTCTCCCCTAATAGCCAAGGGAGGGCTTAGGGATGTAGGGAAATGCACATAATGGGGAGGTTAACGCAGTTACATATCGCTATAACTCAGAGGAGAATTAGAAATCTCATTTTGCTAAATTTACCCTCTCCATATGTTTGATTGTTTCAAACAATCCAGTCTTTATTTTCTTTCCCTATTGGTGGTTGTTAGAATTGACAGGTGACATGGAAGACTTTGGCATTAGTAATATTCCCTTGCCTTGGTCCATGGGGGCCGCTATTATAAAATCCCACAAACCAAGAGGCTTAAACACAACAGGAAGTTATTTCTCACAGTCCTAGAGGCTTACAGTCCCGGATCAAGGCACCGGCATGTTTGTTATATGGCACTTCCTGGCTAACAGATGGCACCTTCTTGCTGTCCTCACATGAAAGAAGGAGCAAGGATCGCTCTTTTGAGGGCACGAATCCCATCATGAGGCCTCCACCCTCACAACCTGGTCACCTCCCACAGGCCCCGCCTCCTGACGTCACCTGGAAGTTAGGTCTCAGCATATAAAGTGGAGGGCGGAGAAGACACACAGACATACAGACCCTAGCACCCCGAGTTGGCTGGCATGTACAGAGGAATGATACTTTAGTTGGATGTTTATGATGGAATATCTTCCATGAGGAATGCGGCAGCCATCCTCCCCAAGCAATTCAAAAGCTGCTCAAAAGTTGGTGGCGGTGGCTGGCTGCCCATGTGTGGCTGCTCTCAGGTCCAGCGCTCTCCATAATGAGATGCCCTCTCTTGTCTCTTGCAGATGGATGGTTTCTAGCCTGCTTCCAAACCCCACCTCGGCCGAGTGCTGGGCAGCACTTCTACATGATCCTATGACGCTTGATATGGACGCAGTCCTGTCAGACTTTGTTCGGTCCACGGGAGCAGAACCTGGTCTGGCTAGAGATCTGCTGGAAGGTAATGGAGCTCCTCATCAACTCCCCACCTCCCACTCAGCCCTGACCTCCCTCCCACCCAGGGCAAAAGAGTTCCATGACCTGACGGTCATATCACCTGCACAGTATTTGGCCATGTCCAAAATGGAAGAAAATGTTCATGAGAGATGAAATGATTTAGTGATTCTGGTCTGTGTGATCTATTGATCACTGCACTCTCTGCAATTAATAAAAGTACATAAAGCACAGACCAGTTAACTCTTAAAGATATTCAGTCAAAAATGTATCAGTAATCATGCTGAAAGAAAATACATTGGGTGGATTAGAAACTATAAGAACATTCTAGAAAGTACTTTAATTGGATATCTCAATTTTATGACTCTTAGCTGAGACAAAAAAAAATGTCTTAGGCTAAAGTTATTGGTGGGAAAAAATAACCTCATAGTCCATAAGATAGTTGGAAATAATTCATCAGCAAGAAATCGAAATGGGAACTAGAGGTGTGGCTCCAGTGGTAGAGTGCTAGACTTGTTCAAAAAGAGCTAAGCAAGAATATGAGGCCCTGAGTTCAAACCCCTGTACCAACACAAAAAGAAATCAAAGCGCATTTCAGTCTTTTCAAGTAAAAGCACCATTTGATGTGTGAACAAAAAATGCACATCCTGTTTACTCAGATATTTACTCAGCCATGATCAAAACAGACTAGATATTAAAGGTCAGATTCGGTCTCTAAGTTGGATTTACTTAGTACAGCTTTGATTCTTTTTTTCCTTTTTTTTTGGCGGGGGGTAAGGGGGAGGGAATGATGGTATTGATAGACAGAAAACTCAGAAGAGCCCAGTATCACTTAGGACCACGGAGTGAAAGGAAGGATCTTTTTCTTAGTATTTTCTGCTTGAGATGTTTAAGTTACAATTTTCAAAACTAGTGAAACACAATCACTTAAGGAAGAATTACTCCAGATGCATGTAGATGAGGATAGCTTTTCAATCTGATGGAAAGCTAAGATGATGAGGAAATCCCATAGTTCCAAACCAACTTGGAGTTGAGAATAAAATGAGCTGAGGAAATGTCTGTGATATATGTGAATCTCACCTCCCACTCATATTATTCAATGGCCTCTACCAGGCCCCACGGCTGCTGTGGGCCAGATAAGTGAGCCTCTGATGGACCCATGGGTTAGGAAGGAGGCTGGACCTCCCTACGTCCTGTGAGATGTAAGGAAACTTTCTCCCCTTACCCTTTACCTTTGTCCTCCATACCAACTCTGGCACCTCCACACACACAGATACACACACACACACACACACACACACACACAGAGTGATTGTGAACATTAGAAGTTGTGATAAATACTGGTACTTGACTATTTACTGATTCTGCACCTTGTAATTTATACTTATGGAGCAGAGAAATTTTAAGAAAAGGAAATCTGTCCTGAGTGGTAGCTTATTCATGGCAGCACGTTTTCATGGTGTCTGGCTTCCACAGGGTGGTTATCTTCCTACCTTTCAGCCTCTTCTTTTTTTTAATATATTTTTTATTGTAAAGATACTGTACAGAGGGGTTACAATTACATGAGTAAGGTAATGAGTACATTTCCTATCGAGTATTGTTACCTCCTCCTTTGTTTTTCCCCTACCATCTCTTCCCTCCCCAACTCCTCCCTCCCTGCCAAGTTATAAAGTTCATTCTCAACATAGTTGTATGTCTCATTGTTACAATGGATCAACCTGTATCCCTATGTAAGCATTTTGTTTTTTCCCTTCCCCTCCCCAAATTAGAAAAATGTATATACAAGATGCAGAACAACAGAATCAAATACAGTGAAAACAGGGGTTATACTGTGGGAGAGGAACATACCAAAGAAACAAAAAAATCACATAGTACATTATAAGTATGTTAAAAACAATAGCAAACAAGAAAAAACCACTTGTGTCCCTGTCTCGGGATTCATTTCATTTAACATCATCTTATATGGTCATATATACATAGCTTTTGACCTTTTCTGCTTGTCCTAGACATATACTAGTTATTGCAAATAAGGGAAACCATGGGACCTATGTTTCTTTGGGCCTGGCTTACTTCACTTAATATAATTTTTTCCAAGTCTTTCCATTTCCTAACAAATGGGGTGATATCTTTCTTTCTGATGGAGGCATAGAATTCCATTTTGTATATATACCACATTTTCTTGATCCTTTCATCTACTGAGGGGTATCTGGGTGGGTTCCATAACTTAGCTATGGTAAATAATGCTGCGATAAACATAGTTGTGCTGGTAGCTTTAGTATAGCCTTGTTTGTGGTCGTTTGGGTAAATGCCCAAAAGTGAGATTGCTGGGTCATAGGGGAGCTTTATGTGGAGTCTTTTGAGGAACCTCCATACTGCTTTCCAAAGCAGCTGAACAAGTTTACATTCTCACCAACAATGCAGTAGGGTTCCCTTTTGGCCACATCCCCTCCAGCATCTGTTATTATTAGATTTCTTGATTATAGCCATTCTAACTGGGATAAGGTGGAATCTCAATGTTGATTTGCATTTTTTTTATGACTAGAGAGGTTGAGCATTTCGTGTGTCTATTGGCCTTTCTTATTTCCTCTTCAGAGAAGTTTCTTTTTAAGTCTTTAGCCCACTTATTTATCAGGCAGTTCATTTGAGGAGTGGTTGGGGGATTTAATTTTTTGAGTTCTAAATATATTTTATATATGAGACCTTTGTCCATTGTATGGCTAGTGAAGATCTTCTCCCAGTTCATGGGCTTTCTATTATCTTGCTAGCTATGTCCTTTGCCTTGCAGAAGCTCTGCAGTTTTATGCAATCCCATTTGTCCGACCTTTCTTTGATTTGTTGTGTTTCTGGGTCTCTATTAAGAAAATTTCGGCCGGTGCCAAGGAGCCCTAGGGTTTCTCCTATTCCGTGCTGTAATGTTTTCAGAGTGTCTGCTTTGACTTTGAGGTCTTTGATCCATTTGGAGTTGTTTCTGGTGCAGAGTGATATATAAGGATCTAGCTTTAGTTTTCTACAGGTGATTAACCAATTTTGCCAGCACCATTTACTGAAGAGGATGTCTTTCCTCCATTCTAATTTTTTAGCTCCCTTATCGAAGATTAGGTAGCTATAGGTCTGTGGGTTCATATCTGGGTCTTCAGTTCTATTCCGTTGGTCCTCAGGTGTGTTCTTGTGCCAGTACCAAGCTGTTTTAATTACTATGGCTTCATAGTAGAGATTGGAATTTGGTATTGATATTCCTCCAGCACTGTTCTTTCTGTTAAGGATCGTTTTTGCTATTTGGGGTCTTTTTATTGTTCCATATGAATTTTTGGATTGCTTCTTCTATTTCATTGAAGGATGAGGTTGGAATATTGATAGGTATTGCATTGAATTTGTAGATAGCCTTTGGAAGTATTGCCATTTTCACGATGTTGAGCCTCCCAATCCAGGAGCATGGCAGGTTTTTCCACTAAGTTGGAGCAGAGAAATTTTAAGAAAAGGAAATCTCCTGTCCTGAGTGGCAGCTACCTTCCTGGTGGTTCATTCATGGCAGCTCATTCATTCATGATGGCTGGCTTTAACAGTATGGTTATCTTCCTACCTTTAAGCTTCTTCTTTAAATATTTTTTTCTGCTCCACACTTTCTTCCACTCCTCTTTGAACTATTCACTTCCTCCCCCAATCTTTTTTCCACATCTTGTTCAAATTAGATCATTTCCACCAATCTATTCACAAATGTACCAGCTCTTTCTTCCGCCATCCCCATTCTGTTATTCAGCCATCTAGGGAGTATTTCATTATCCTTTGTGTTTATTTGGTTTTTGGAGGAAAAAAAATCTAACTTTTCTACTTGGTTCTTCTTCTGATCTTCTGTTTCTTTCCTGAAACTTTTGAGAGTGTTTCATACTAATGCAGTTACTAAGATTTCTCTGGTTATGTGTTTTGTGGGCATTTTTAAGTTTGGGATATCGAGTAAACTTAAATTGCATACAAGATATTTTGAAAGTTATGATTTGAGGTTCTCTTTGTTGTTTGGCTCTTACAGTGAACTTCATTAACTTTGTTTTAAAAAAGTATCTTGGAATTTAGACATAAACATAGCTCCTATATCAGGGCTGAGAAGCTATGTTTGACTCTGTCTCCCTGGAGAGCCTCCTAGCGGCCACTCTGTGAATTTACAGTGGCCTGTGGCCCATTTACACATTGCTTTTTCAGCATCATATTCCAACCGGTGCAGCTCAGAGTTCATGAACAGCTTTAAAGAGTTTGCTCTCTCAGACTCCAGCACCTGCAGAATCTCTTACCACCAACTCCACATTTCCAGTTGCATCCCAGGGGCTTATTTTCCTACTTCACTTGTCTACAGCGGGTGAGAGCTGGGCAGTTCGGAGCCAGGGAGAGACGAGATGAAGGAATTATTCTGCCCTCTAGCGACCACAGATCGTGTGGTCGGAGAGGAAAGTTCCCCAGCCAAAGACGCCCCCACAATTGCTGTCACAGAATTTCTTGAGGTCCAGGACCCAGAGTACTTGGGGTGAAGAAGGGGTGGTGGGGTAGAAAGATTCAGACAAAAAGAAAAGGATAGGAATGAGGGATTTCCACACACTTCCTGAGCAAGAGAGATCTCTTTGCTGCTTCCTGGGAGTTGCTGGAGGACTCCTTCAGCAATAAATACCCACTTCTGGGTCTGAGGCTGCGCTGATTCACTTGGGGACATGAGGACAGGGGACAAAGTCCCCACTAGGTCTGTGTGGCATTGATAGTGACCTCCTTCCTTCATTTGCATTGGTTACATTTATTTGTAAACTGATGGACAAAAACTGTTTCCAAGTATACATAGGTATACTTGTTTTAAAGTATACATAGGTAAACAGATGTATGTGTTTATATATTCACATCACACAGTGTTTATCCCTAGATAATTAACCTACCATTCCGTAGTGAGAACACTTCACATCCACTCTTTTTAACATTTTTTTTTCTTTAAGAATACTGGTATCCTTGAATGAGTCAAGACCATGTGGTCCT